TTGTTTCTCCAATAAAAAAGCCTGGGAACAGTAACTACTCAATAAATCTATACTTACCCAGTGAATGATTGTATGATTAAAGATGTGGATCCATATTCATAGAAGAAAGGCAAGGTTCCCCTAAGTTTTTTGCCTTCTGGGTGGGTGGCTGACCATGTGCTCAGCCTGAGAGACCCTTAGCACACACCATCGAGGAGGTGCCCTGAGCGTGAACATGGGTGGTCTCCCTTGACATTTAATGCATTTTTCTCCCCCAGGAGGGTCAAGATTTTGCAATAGAAAATCATGGCCAGCTTTCAGTACTATGACTTGAGGCTCCCCAAGAACATTTTCTGTGAGGGCATGTTGTGGCTAGGCAGCAGAAAAGGCCAGACATCTTGTTGGTGCAACGGAGCAGGTATAGTATGTTCTAGCGGACATTGGCTCAACTCCTGGCCTTGCTGGGTGACACTGAGCAAGAACCTAGCTTTGCCAAGCTTTGGCATATTTGTCTGTAGAGAGAAACATTCACTCTCCCGTGTCAAGGTAGCTCTGTGAGGATTCATGAGGTAATGTCTGAGCAGAATGTCTGGCATGCAGTGTGTTCATTAAGTCTCCACTGATTATGTTGGCTGGGCTGTTTGCTTTTGGCTCAACAACCCAGTGACTAGTACAGAACCTAGCACATAGTAGGTGCTTTAGGAAACCTTTATTAAGGATTTAACTAACAGCAGAATCTATTTTACTTCAGTCAGATTTCCCTCCTCTGGATGAAGATTTCTATGTGCAAAGATTCCCCTCTCCACCAGATACTCAAATCAATTGCTCTCCTTGTCGGCAGCTCAGATCTCTGTACTTTGAAACCTCCAAGTTGCGGAATTAACACGTGTGCTTGTAGGAGTGACCCTGTCCCATGTTGTCATCATGACCCTCCTCCCTTGTGCCTGTGGAGGGTGGACACTCATCAGCCCCCATCTCAATGAGAGGGCTGCAGAATCAAATCAGCGAAGAGAGAGATTCCTGTTTGGTTCCAGTACTATACAGAGCACAACTGTTTCTTTGAAATTGACCTTCATTTATTTGGAGGGGAAAGCAGTTTGTTCAATAATGGCTTCCTGGTGCCTTTCAGCATTTTGAAAGACGGAAGAAAGATTTGGAGCGAGGCAAGGTTCCAGTGTTTTCTAAACAACTCACTAAGCCCGGCCATGAGTTGGCTGTCCAGCACTTCCTGCTGCCCCACCTCACTGCCCCCACGCCGCGGCACACATCTCTCAATGGCCCTGCCACATTGGGAGACCCTGACCAGGCCATCCCCAGGCTGGTGGGAGTCGGTCTTCATTGTAACACCAGGCAGCTAAAGATTCCCTGGGACATCTTGCACATGGCCCATGGAGTGGAAATACTGCTACGTTCTATTCCAATTGTTTCCTGTCCCTTCCCTGGCCTGACTCCAGGGGCCAAAGAAAGAGGTTGTTGTTCGGTGGCATCCATCTCTGCTCCTTGGTAAGTGAGCACTGGTCTCTTGTCCAACTTGGTCTGTGGCCACCCACAGGCTAAGGGTGGGGAAGGAGGTAAGGAGGGTGTCCCAGGTAGGGAGGGCACAGCAGGAGACACGAGGCCCTGCTCTAAGGCAGCCCCACCCTGCTCCCCAAAATAAAAATAATAGAGGAAGAAAAACAAATGGGGATCCTAAACATGACCCAGTGGGGGGCACGGCTATTTTTCCTCTTCCTCAAAAGGAATCCCAACCCTTCTCTCCTAGGGAGAAAACAAACACAGCTATGGAAATCTTGTACCACCAGGCACCTGAAAGTCGAGCAGCAGTGGAGGTACTCCTCCCTGCACTTCTCTCTTTGCAAGTATTGTCTTCCCCCAGATCCACTTTCACCTCTATTGCATGGAAAGCCCTCATGGAAAATTTAGAATTTGGAACCTTCTTTAGATTCCAAAAGGAGCTATTGTTCTTGATCAAGCTACTTTTATTTGGGTGTTATTTTAACTCAGAGGAAGTAAAAACCCACATCTCCATTTTGCTGGGATGTTCTTCCTCAGTGATTAAGAAAACATTAATTATGTGGCTTCTCTGCTTGAACTCTTGAGTCCCTTTTGGAGCCCATCCCAAGACCAAGGCTGGGAGTCCATATTCCTCACCTCACCTGTTGGGTTTCCAAGGAAGGAGGATGTGAATGAAGCCAGCTCTGGGATAATGCATCCGAAGGTCCTCAGGAGGTCACATGTTGACATAAAGTTTCCATAGCAAGGAAAAGGCAAGCACACTACTCTGAGCTCACTGGAGGGACAGAGCCTTTCATTTTCTATACCATGGGAGCCAAGGGCCCGAGATGCTAGGGGATTGAGGTCTCAGAAAGAAATAGGCAGAAAGGAGAGCAATAATGAGAGGGAGAACAGCGGGCTTGCTGACATGCAGTGCAGGATTCAGAGAGAAGCCACATCCTGCACCACTGTGTGGCTGGGGAACACCTAAGCGTTGCAGCACTCGTAGAGCTTCGCACTGGGGATGTAAGTTCTAAAGGGAGCTGAGTGGTCCTGTGGCCACTGATCCTCAAAGCCTGGTCTGTGGACCACCTCTTAGAATCATGTGGAGACTGACAAGACATGGAGATTCCTGGGCCCACTGGATTTTACAGATACAGAGAACCAGATTCTCTGTATGGTCCTACTAACTAAATTGTTCCAAGGGTTAACTGATTGTATCTAAGCCAGAAGCTGAGGTCTCATCAGGAGGTAAACCTAGAGGAGGGTGCTGTGACACATCATCCTTATGGCTGTGGGAAACCCTCTTCCCTTCTCCAAAGCACTGAATGGCTCTGCTGCCTTCTCTGTACTTTTACAAGCCAAGGTCTCTGTACTTTAATCAAGTTTCCCAAGTGATTCTGATGCTGCTTAAAGTTTGAGATCCTGCAATGTACTTCAGCCCTCTTACTATCGAGACATGAGATCTGAAGTCTAGAAAGGTAAATCAACAATTCTAGGGATACAGAGTTAGTTGATGGCAAAACTCAAATGAGAACTCTTTTTCCTGACCGCCAGAGCAGCGCTTTCCATTTCCACATGCTGGAAGCTACCTACCAGCCCAGAGTTTCTGCCGCATCCTAAAGCCCTGAACCTCTGATCATTTCTGCATCCTCCTGGGGTTGTTCCCTTTTTAGCATGCTCAGATCATAGCTCTGTGGGTGGGAGGACAGAGGCAGAAAGAAGAAAGACCCAGTTCTCTTCTGAGGCTTTTTTAACAAATGTGGGATGGGTAGACGAGTAGAGAAGGAGGAAACACACTATCGATCCCGAGGGGGTGACTGCTTGTAGTACTAATAGCTGACTTTCACTGAACATTTTGTTTGTGCGCCAGGTATTGTACTAGGGTCCATGTATTAGTGCAACATCCACAGAGCAAATATTAATTAGCCCTATTTCCTAGAGGAAGAAACTAAGGTTCTCACAGGCTCAGTCTTTTGCACAAGGGCATGTAGCTAATAAGTCCAATCACCTCTCCATAGGATCATGATCTTTGTATCACCCCGTGCAAAGCAATGTGAATCATCATCCACTGTCAATCCAGCTACCTGCAGAAGGACCCTGGAACCTTGGAAAAGAGCAGCCAGCTCCTCTGCAGTGGAATGTGCTTGTGGGTAGGGTAGAACTGCGAGCTCTTTGCACTTGGTGCTTGGCACTGAAAGTATTTCTTAAAGGTAGCAAGCTTGCCTTAGAAAAGATGACACCAAGAGTAGGTTAAACAGCTCCCCCCCCCCCGTTCTGTCTTTTAAAAATGGAAACTCTTGGTATTAGTTTGCTCTCTTTCCATTCATATTTTTCTCTTGAAAGCAGAATAGCTTCAGAACTTTAGCTGCTGGAGGATTGGGTTACATTTAGTGACAACCAGCTGAGACCCTGGTGAGACTGCAGGCGTAGGTGATCTGTGGCAGGCGGCAGCTGCCAGCTGCCCTGATGCTGTGGCACATGACTGGACCATGATCACCGCCCTCCATTCATTTTCTGTAGTGTTCTCTGGGGTTAAGAGAAGGCAGCAGAGCCACTCAGTGCTTCAGAGAAGGGACGAGGGTTTCCCACAGCCATAAGGATGGTGTGTCACACCACCCTCCTCTAGGTTTGCCTCCTGATGAGACCTCGGCTTCTGGCTTAGATACAATCAGTTAACCCTGGGAATGATTTAGTTAGTAGGATCACCAAACGAAGTGAGATGGACGCACTTACTTTGTGCAAGATGAATGAAGCACTGGATTCTATCTTGCCAGGCTGGGCATTTTGTAGCTGAAGGTGAGCGTCAGCTGAAATCTGATTCTGGACATTTCACAGATCACTAGACTTAGGAGCATTTTGTGGCAAATACAGACTATGTGACCCTCTAGTCATTTTCTCTTTCAAACATCAAGCTTCAGGTATGTGAAAGGCCCAGCTGGGCTGTGCAGCTGTCAAACGCTTTTATTAACTGACAATGAAGGCAGTGCTTTGAGGTGCTAGCCGGCCGTGATGGTGACGGAGGCGGGGGAGACTGCAGCTTCTGCAAAGCTCCCGAGAAACGCGAGCCCTGGAAATACTGAATGAACGCTGCCTTTCTGTGAGCAAGCTGCCTCCCTCCTTCCCAAACGCCGCGTCTGCAGTAACTACAAACTATTTGGTATGCTGCGTTAGCGACACTGCCTTAGCCAACACATCATTACTATTGAAATAATGCTGGTGTGATGCTCGAGCCCGGTGTCCTTTTTAATTATTAAACCAAGGCTGACTGGCAAGTGAGTCATTCCACATCTCAGATCCTGTGGCTCTATTTCAAGTGCCTGGTACCTTACCACTAACACCTGAGTTGGGTCTTAGCCAACTCCCTAATCTGCAAAGACTTTGCAGAACAAACAATATTATCCAATCCCCAAACACACACAGACTGCATTACAGAAACAAAGCCCACATGAAAACTTCAGCATCAGCTCCACAGGAAACCCAAGACACAAACGCATCCAGGTGCCCTCTGCCCGTCCCCAACTTACCAAGAGGGAGAGCGATGAAGAAGGGCAGCCAGCACAGGATGAACATGCCGACCACAATGCCCAAGGTCTTGGCTGCCTTCTTTTCCCTGGAGAATTTAAAAAGTTTGACAGCTATGGAACTCCTGGGGTTGTGGCCCTTGGCCCTGGTACTGCTGAGGGTGTCCTCGTGAAAGTTTTTGGAGTGGATCCTCAGGGTCAGCTCCTTGGAGTTAGACATCTCCTTCATGACGCCTGCCTCCAGGTTCTTCGTGGTCCTCTTGGCCACGATGTAGACGCGGCAGTACATGACCAGAATAACCGCCAGGGGGATGTAGAAGGAGCCCAGGGAGGAGAAGAGGGCATAGAAGGGTTCCTCGGTGACCCCGCATTCCTTGTCATCGTTGGGCGCCGGCTCCTTCCAGCCAAGGAGAGGCCCGATGGAGATGACTGTGGACAACACCCAGACACTGAGGAGCGCCAAGATGGCCTTCCTCCGGGTGACCAGTGTGGGGTACTGCAGGGAGTAGCGCACCCCAATATAGCGATCGATGGAGATGGCGCACAGGCTGAGAATGGAGGCTGTGCAGCATAGGACGTCCACAGCTGCCCAGATGTCACAGAAGATCCGTCCCAGTACCCAGTAGCCTAGCACCTCCAGGGCAGCCGAGAAGGGCAGGACGGTGAAACTCAACAGCAGGTCGGCAATGGCCAGGTTGACGATGAAGTAGTTGGTGGGCGTTCGCAGGTGCCGGTTGCAGGCCACAGACAAGATGACTAGGATGTTGCCCACGATGGCGAAGAGGATGAAGGCGCCCAGCACCAGGCCCACAGAGATGGCCCTGGTGATGTCCAGCTGGGGCAGCGTGGAGTTGCTCGAGGTCTGGTTGGGTCCACTGAAGTTGGCATCTTTCAACTCTCCCCAGTAGGCAGGTGCTGATGTGTTGTGGCCGGCGTCCAGATCGGGATTCATTTTAGAGTCCGCCCTCCATAGCCAGGGAGGTGCTTGGGCTGGAAGGGCTGCGGGCAGGGCTCTTCAGCTGCCCCGAAACTTTGCTTCCCCCTTGGTCTTCTTCCTAGAGGCGCCCTTCTGGCCGGGAATCATTTCCCCCGGGCAGCCCAGCCCGGCGGCAGCAAGTCGCCTGCCTGCACCGAGCCGCTCACTTGCCTGTCAGAGGGAAGAGGAGAGAGGGGACGAGGCGGCAGCTCCAAGTTTAATGGTCCACGTCAGGCGCGCCGGCCGGGCCAGGCTCGCAGGGGAGCGCAGGGCGCAGCGGGCGGGCAGGGGGCGCGGCGGAGCCGGCCCGGCCGGGTCTGCGGGAACGCGGCGCCTCTTACACCCGGCGAGCGGAGCGCAGCGCCAAGGAGGGTCTGCTCTCAACGAGCCGCCTCTGGGCTGACTGCACGGCGGTGACATCAGGCGGGGAGCCCGGCGCCCTGACTCCGCGCGGCACTAGGGGGCAATGCGGGCCCAGCCACCAGCCGCGGCCCCGACGCCGCCATCGCCTCCCGGTCCGCGCCTGACGGCTCGGCGGGGGTGGGGTGCGGGCGGGGGAGGGACCTGGCGAGGGTATCCCCTCTTCCATCCCCAGGTGGCCCACGGGGCTCATTTCCCAAGTGGGCTGGGGTTCTTACCTCTAAGGAAGGCTCCTGGAGTCAGGCCCCTGTCTGGTCCCTGAAAGAGGAAGAATTCCAGGGTTAGGCAGGTGGCAGGATCTTGAGCACATCTGAGCCAGCCCTCCTCATTTATCTTTCTGAGGTCTGATAAAACCTGGCGTCTTTATTTATTCGTTCCTTCCTGCATTCATTCATTCTTGCCCTTGTTCATGCAGTGAGTTGTTACCGAATGTTGTTGGGCTTCTGTTCTAGGCTTTCTAGGTGAGGCGCTTGGACGAACAGGCAAAGACCTCTGTGCCCTAGGAGCTTAAATTTTAGTGAGAGGAGACAAACGATACACCAAACAAGCGAATCGGAGGCATGCCACCTGATCGGAGGCAGGAGTTGGGAGAACCCAAGTGAGGAGAGGGCTGCGCACTGCAGCCTTGGGCGGGGTGGGGGCTGAAATCCGAAGCTATTTGGCTGCAGTGGGAAGAGAACACCAAACATCTAGGCAAGGGATCCCGGGGGCCTTGGCTATCTGCTGACCTTTTCTTCCTGCCTTCTGTTCATGTTGGACATGCAGATCCAGGACAAACTTCCCACAGGTGAACGACGGGTACTTAGGGAAGGATGACCTGCTCTACCAGAGGCCGAGAAAGAGCCTTGTGTTAGTTACATGGAATGTCCTAGGGAGTGTGCCGTGTTCTTCTGCTTTTTCTCGTGACCCTAGGAGAGAAAAACTATTCTTACCCTATTTCCATTTTGTGGACAGGCCACCACTTTCCACAAAATTGAGCTCTTTTCTTCAAGTTTGCATACCTGCCAAGGGGAGGGGCTGGGACTCAGACGCACTATGGAAACTATTCCAAAGTTGGGCACTCTGGCGCTGGGCCAGGTGGGGGTCAGAGCGCGTACTACAGTTGCAACTGTGTGCTATGTGGCAAATTTGGAGGTGCAAGCTGCTGGTACTGGGAGGGAACTCAAGTTTACTGCGTTCCTGCAGTTTGCTAACCTTTTACTTATTTTCTTTTATTTTTCGTAACAGTTCATTGAGAGGAGCATGATGGTTTTTCCATGAGCATGTAAGACATGGTGGCTCAGCGAAGGTAGATTCCCGAAGTCATGTGGCTAGTGACATTTGGTGGACTCCAGGGCAGTGGCCACTGAGACTGGAGAGTCAAGTCTGACCCCTTTTTTTACTCCAGGCTATGCGCTCCTGTCCTTGGTAACCATCTTGCAATTAAGGAGTGAGGAACTCTTCTGAATTAATCTTTTTACTTTCGCTTTTCAGAAAGAAGGGCAGGTGGTCAGTCACCACATACCTGGTGCTTTAACTTCCTCCCACTAAATGCAGACTTCCCAAATGCACAAAATAGGCAATTTCAAGGAGTCTCCCTAAAGTTTAAAAAAAAAAAAAAAAGATCTGTGGTAGATACTTCTCTGAAAACATTTTTTTTTTTTCTGGCTCAAATTTTACTTGAAGATTTTAAAATAGATCTTCAAGGGCTCTCAGAACCCAAGTTTTCCTTTTCCTTTTTTGAAACAAACTCTCACTATGTAGTCCAGGCTGGACTCAAATTTGTGGTAATCCTCCCATCTCTGCCTCTCTAGTAAGTGCTGGGATTGCAGCTGTGGGCCACTGTGCCAGGCTTGCCAAGGTTTCTCATTTGCCCACTGTGGAACTGGTGCAGCGGCTTTGGAGTTGGCAAGCGGCCACTGCTGGTCGGGGCATTGCTGGTTATCAAATCCTGCACCCCGGCATATAGGAGGGGGCTCCTCCCATTATGCAGAAAAAGCCTCCCAGGATGACTACTTATGGTGGTCACAGTAGGGTGGGAGATGGGCAACTCTCTGCTGGAGATCTTAAGGAAAAAGGGAGGGTGTTCTTGGTCTTGCACAGCTTAGCTACTAATCTGAAGACTGAGGCTGGTCCAGATGATCTTCTAAATGCTGAACCTCATTCAGCTTCTGTGCTGGATAAAGTGGCCCCTGCAGACAACTCTGTGCCCCCCATGCATCTTCCACATTAGATGGGGCAGTGGGTGTCATGTCATCCACTCAGCTCCCACTACTCCCAGCTCTTTTCAAGGCTCTCATGAGGAAGCTTCTCTTGGGCTGCTTTATGCCCAAGCAACAGTGAGATGAAGAAGAAGAGACCAGGGAGCTGGCACAGGGCTGGTGATCAGCACAAGGTAGGGACATGGGGAGGGACAGGGCGGCACACAGCGGAGTGCAAGTTCCAAGCCCACATTTTGACTGTGTGGCCCATTTCCCACTTCCTGGGGCATTAATTTCACCAGCTATTGAACAGACAGCGTCACACCATTGAACACAGAGGCTGTGTCTACACAATCAAGGTGACCAGCTGCGATGTGACGCTCAGCTACCACACATTCTCTATGGTGGCAAAAGCCCAGGAGGGGAGCAAATCTTGAGATGCAGCAATGGCTTCTCCTTATTATGAAAAAGAATAGCTTGTTGTTTAGGTGAGAACTTGTGCCTTGATTCAGATGTGGAAGAGATTATTGAGCAAGATAGACAAGTTCAGAATTCTTGCAGGTTTCAGAAACATTGTCATTTGCCAGCATCTTTTGCAAAGGCAAAACAAACTTCCCACCCTAAAACACAGAGGCATTCTCCTTAGTTGTAGCTGCTGAACAGGACCCCACGAGGTGACCTCTGTGAGGGTCACTTTCTTGCCCCCTTTTCCTCCCCTTGCAGAGATGCCTCTTAACCCTGGCTGATTTCTGACCCACGGAACTGACCATTTTGTTTGGGTGTCATGAGGATACAGATGCTATTTCATTTTCTCGACACTCCCTGGGGCAAAGCCAAGCCCAGAGCTGACTCACTGAAGGCCCGGGGAGGCAGGATCTTTTCATTATCCATCTCATTACATTAGAAACCTCTGATGTGGCAACCTCTCACTGCTGCGAGGGAGCCTGTTAGGAGACACTGTCACTTTCTTTGACTGGTGGGGAAACTGAGGCGGGCAGCCTGTGCGATGTGCTTAGGGAATCTTGGTGGGAGAGCTGTCCGCTCTGATCATGGGGTTTTGCAGTTCTCCTTCCCTGTCTCTCTCCAGCTTCCAGCCTAACCAGACTTACACAGCAGCATGGATTTCTGGCACGGGACCTCACGGGAGTTATGGGTGAATCTAAGGTGAACTAATGAAGCGAAGGATAACCTGGCACTGAGCAAGGTGCTCTGGTAACAGTGCTGCCGACCTTTCAGAGAACCTACCTACTGTGTGCCAGCATTGCGCTGGGTGCTCTGGGTACACGTAGTCACATCTTCACAACAATGCAAGGGAGGTGGTATTCCCATTTTAAAAATGAGGAGACTGAGGCAGAGAGAGAGAGAGAGAGAGAGAGAGAGAGAGAGAGAGAGAGAGATCAAGAGAGCCTGTGATGTGGCCAGGGCTGTTCAGTGAGTAAGCAGCATTGATATTCACAGCATTATTATCCTGCTTCAGGGCTTGCATCCTTCTCTCTGCACTAGACTGAGATTTAAAAAAAAAAAAAAAAGGGCAGCAGAAGGCTCAGTGTTCGCCTGAAGGAAATTACAGCAGAAAACAGAATGTGATCAGGGTCTTGAGTGAGGCGGAGGTCAGGGAGGGGTGGGAAGTCGGAGAGAAGCCCCACGGAGGCTCTCCTAGGCCAGCCTTCCCTGCCTCCCAGGCAGGGCTTGGTCTGCCAAGGAGTTGAGAGCTGACTTGGATTCTAATCCTGTTTCCATCCTTTAATAGCTGCTGTTTTGACCTTGGATAGGAGAGGAGCGTGATTAAGGGCCAGAACTCTGGCATCTGATGGGCCTGGGTTTATGTCCCAGTTCCACTAATTCACTTTCTGTTTGCCCTTGGACAAGTCGCATAACCACTTAGGGCCCTTGGTTTCCGGAGCTGTGAGCTGAAGATTGTAAGGGTCCTACTTCTTAGGGTTATGGCTGAGTATTAAACATGATAATGTGTGCAAAATACCCAGTGCAGAGTGATACTGTAGTGACATTATTGGCCACTGATTATTCGGCACTTACTAGGTGCTTGGCATGAGACCAGGATGCCTTATGTACATTATCTCATTTAATCCTCATAAGAATACTTCCAGGGTCTGCTATTATTACGGACAGTTTACAGATGAGAAAATTGAGGTTCAGATAGTTAAATCACTTGCATGAGGTCACAGAGCTAGAGCACAGCTGGAGTACAAACCATGCAATAAAGGAGGCTAAAAAAAGGAAAAGGAACTACAAATGTGAGGCGTCTGCTCTTTATAGGGTCCCCGAGGTCTGTGGGGGTATAAAGGAAGATTCCCGTCCCTCTGTAACCCTGGGTAAGTGTCCTTTCTTTTGTGCTCAGCATACTGCTTGAAAGGAGAGGCATTTCTTTTGCCTCCAAAGGGAGCCACAGGTATCAGCTCTGAAGAGGGGAGTTTTAGCTCCCTTCACACAGAACTGCTTTTGTCTGTGGCGATTACAACCTGTTGCTCTTTGGTGAGCATGGGTTCCCCCACCCCAGCACTTCAGGTCACATAGCATTCCCTGATAAGGTAGAGAGAGCTTAGTGGCAGCTCTTTGCAGCAGGCTGGTGGAGATTAATTGCCAAGTCATCCAGGGGCTGGATTCATATCGCATCCTGGGGAGAGCCCAGAGCGCTGAGCAGCTAGGGGCCCAGGTGTGAGGCGTAGCAGGCTGGAGCACGGAATCTGAAAGGCTCGCAGTGTGGGAGACAGACAGGTCCATTCTTATGCCCCACTAGCATCTGAGTCAGGGAGCAGTGCCAGGATTAGCTCTCTAACCACATGCACTGAAATCATCAAAGGTAATAGCAACAAGCTCCATACAGTTGGCTTTTCAAGGGCCCGACCTCTCTGGGCTCCATGGCTGCAAGTCCGGATCATGAGCTTCTGAAATGTCAGAATCCAGGAGTCCAGAGATCATCTAGTCCATGGTCTGCAGACTACAGCCTGGGGATTACATCCAGCCTTGCATCTGTTTTTGTAAATAAAGTTTTATTGGACCAGAGCCACACCCATTGGTTTGCATATTGTCTGTAGCTGTTTCTGTGCTGGAATGGCA